ACTTTCTCACAGTTGGTGCATCAGTCCCATACATGATCCACCATTCAGCTATAATGAAAAACAATGTTGATAAGCCTAATAACTCCAACAAATTCTATTATAAACTGATAGTGAAATATGTTTACACTCACTAGGACACATTTTTGTTCGAGCAACAACTGATGTTGGTTCTCCAAAAGTTCTTCTTGCATCTTTAAACCATGTTAGCTGAATTCAATAAATCGTGTTAGTTTAATCCAACAAAGTAATTATTATAATTTAAGTAATTGTGTACCTCATTTCCAAATTGGCCAACTGCTGGTGATGCAAGGTCTAATTTAGAGTATACATTATGTACAGCACGTATAAGGGTACCATCATCTCCAACACCGGGTCTGTATTGGTATCAAGGATTCAAATAATATGTTGTTCAAAGAAACACATACTCTAATAAGAGAAATAATACTTATGCAACTAAAGAAATGAATTGCAAATTATGACATAATTTATACCTGCTGCATGCAAATCTTGGTATAATGTTTTATACCATTGGTCTTCAATTATCTTTATGACCCACCTTGCACCATGTTTTCTTTCCAATTCATCATTCACTACACGCATCAACTCATATATTGCCCCCATAGTAGGATACACTTATGTGTCAACAATCCGTAAAACTTTGTAAAGAGGTTCAAACACTTGGCACACATGTTCTGATTGAGTCCAAAAAGCATGATCAAGCACTATACTTTCCACCATACGACTTGCATTTAAGCGGCTCAAATTGTGGTTGGCCCAATCGTCACTAGTGAATAGTTGCTTCAACTCTGCTTTCTTCTTAAGTAGGCTGTCTAATGCAATATAGTTGGTGGCGAATCGAGTGGTAGCTGGACGAATAATTTCTCCTTTGCAAAATTCACACATCTTTGCCAACAACCAACCGTGATTGTAAATATAATTTGTGATCGTTCTAGCTCTTTTTACCACAGTAGCAACATTCTCTCTCTTCCCCATTGCCTCAAACATGAGATCAATACAATGTGCTGCACATGATGTCCAAAACACATTATGATGCTTCATTAACTTTTTTCCAGCTTTGACAAATGCATAACCGTTGTCGGTCATGACTTGGACAACATTATGCTCTCCCACCTCCATGATTACATCCCTCAATAATTTGTAAATATACTTGTAGTTCTTTATATGGTCTGAAGCATCAACAGACTTAAAAAAAATTGTTTTTTCCTTGGAGTATACCATGAAGTTTATGATAGACAATCTAGTCAGCCCAGTCCATCTGTCACACATGATTGTGCAACCATTAGTTTCCCACTTTGACCTCAACTTGTTAACATACTCGCAAATGTCTTTATACTCCATATCCAAATATTTGTTTCTTACCTCATAGGGAGTGGGAGGTTGTACTCCAACACCGGCCTGTTGACATCCCACTACCATATTTTTGAAATGATGTGATGATGCCTTCTCAGCAGGGACATTTTCATAGATAAAGAACTTGCTAATTAGACACCCCATTCCTTCCTTAACATTACCTCCAGGGAAATAACTCCAAACACTCTTTTGACGTGTTTTGGATGACTTATATAAACTTGGGGCTATTGGTGGTGTTGGTTGTGATTCTCTAACATTGCCTCCCCGTCTCATTTGTGTACCACCACTTGTCCTGGAACCTTGTGCTCTATTAGGAATTTTATGAAGGTGTTCTCTTTCCTATGCTGACTGTTTGGAGGCACGTAATGCTTGTTTCAAACTGCGTCGTTCTTCAGGTCCCATGTCATCATCACATTCGTCCTCATCGTCATCATCATCACTGTCAACCGCTTGGCCAATGACTCTCCTTGTAGCCCAGCTCGAATATATTTCCATTCCATGTGTTATCTTTTCCTTCTGCTGTTTTTTATTTTTTTTAATAATGTGGTGATGAATGCCTTCACTTCTGGGGGGACATTATCGTATCGTTAGACATTTTTTGCTGGATCTAATCCACTAAAATGGTATTTAAGTCGTGTCACTCTGCCACTCTTCATTACCCGACCACAATATTTGCAAATTGTGCCATGTTTGTTTCCGTCTATTGGGTCTCCATGTTCCCAAGCTAGATCACATTTAGTACTCCACTGGACATCTTAAACGTACCTATATTTATTTCATGAAAATTAGACAATTATTTTTTGGCCAAAAAATATAGTAGTGATGACGGTTATATAAGAGAACCTAAATAATAAAATTATTATACAGAAGAATTAAATACGAAGTAAAGAAAATGATTGTAAAAATTTAAGTAATTATAAAAATAATATGGAATAATAAAACCTAATATTAATGAATAATAATCCAATATGATAAAAAAATAATCCTAATATTAAACATAGTAATGATTCTAATGAATAATAATCCAATTTGATAATAATCCAATTTAATAATAATCCAATTTAATGAATAATCCAATTTGATAATAATCCAATTTAATGAATAATAATCCAATTTGATAATAAAAAAACCTAATATTAATGAATAATAATCCAATTTGATAATAAAACCTAATATTAATAAAATAATAAATAACATTAAACATATTAAAATTATCTTAGGGAATAATTACACAACATTACTTAATTACTTAAAAAAATTAACATACGAGTCCACACAAATTTTTTTGTTGTTGTATAAATTACAATAATATAAATATAAGTTTGTAAACTTATCTTAAATATGGAACCCTTTGTGTTGAACCTTTGGAATGGATCTGGAATGACTCTGAAAGAGGTAAGGGAAGAAGAAGAAACGAAAAGGTCTAATAGAGGTTTTAATTTTCGAAGGGTCAAAAAATGAGTGATGATCTGATACAGAGGCTCTAATAATGTGAAAGAATATCACAGTGGCACACGGTTTTGAATGAAACCACCATCCATGGTCTGAAATTGTACAAGTTATAATTGTAAAATTGTACAAGTAATTCTAAAAGTTGTCAAGAAGTTCCTGAGTCCTGAGTACTGAGTCCTGACAGGAACCACACACACACACACAAACACGCCACCACGCACGCACACAGACATCCCACACGCAGACACACAAAGACCTTAGTCTCTTTCTCTTGATCCTTCTCAGTCTTTCTTTCTCGATCCTTCTCTCTTCTCTCCCTTCTCCATCCCACACACACACACAGAGATCTCTCGATCTCTCTTCTCCCTTCTCCCACACGCACGCACAGAGACCTCAGTCTCTCGATCCTTCTCCCACATGGCCTTCTGCTCCTCTCTCGCCTTCCTCCTCGTCCGCGTTTTCTGCCTCGACGGCGCCATCTCGAGTCAAAACTCCCATCTCTCTCATTTCTCTCTGCACCAAGACCCACATACACACACGCACACCTTCGCACCTGCTTCAGGAAAACACCACCTCGTCTTTCTCCCTCTCCTTCTCGTCTCTGCAACTCGGCGAACGCAGGAACCCTTCGGCGAGTTTCTTGAATTTATCCGGTTAGGTAAGCTTCGGGTTTACCTCTTTCTGTTCTAAATTGAAGCTTAGATGTGAAATTTAAGTTCTATCTCGTGTTTTTGCAAGGTTTTTGGGACGAAATCGGCTCGGGAATAGGCACACATCTCCGGCAAGGCCGTGGGTGTCGACGAACTTTCCAAACACCTCAGACCGTTTCACGGCAAACAGAAGTTATAAAAACATTCCTCTCGTCTTCTATTTCATTTTGATACCTAGATCGGAGTCTAGGGTGCTCTTTTACAGTCGGCTGAAGCTCTAGAAGCTCCGGCGTTCTTCTCCGATTTGCACAGATCTAAATTTCACGATAATATCAGTAATATCGCGATATTATCGATATTATTGATAATATTGCGATATTTTGATGAAAACCAATTGGATACCTATTAAAATATCGTTACCGTGAAAAACCAATAATATCGGCGATATTTCGCCGATATTATCGGCATTTAAGACCTTGTAAATGACCACTTGCAATGCACGGTGAGACTTTAAAGTGCTATCAAAAACAATTTTTAAATATAGAACATTATTACATAAAAAAAAAGCTATTTTTAAATATAAAACATTATTACATATAAATATTAGATGACAAATATTTTGAAAGCCCCTTCAAATTTGAAGCCCTATACGACTGCACATTTCGCTTCCCCTCAATGCCCCTTCTAGCAACATGTCTCACCATTCTGCTACTAATATGACTCTATATGAGGTGGTGTATAGCCGTCAATCACACCTCCTACTTCCAACATATGAAGTTGGTAGTACAACAACAACATGTTTGGTGGATAGAAGCCTGCTTGTCTTTGAAATGAAAAACACCGTTTTATTTTATATTTTTGTTCTTTTCTCGAGTCCAAGGACCAAAACGACGTCGTTTGGCCTGAGTGTTCAAAAACAGAGGAAACCCGTTGCAGAGCACCTAAACGCAAAACGGCCACATCAGAGTAGCAGCAGCCTAGCAGAGGGTGGAAATCTGTGTCTTATGGACGAATTTCAGCGACCGGAGTGCGGCCACACCTCCTTACGCTTCTGTTGTTCGCCACACCACTACTAGACAATAACTCGCTAACCGGTCCTGTTCCCGATCAATTTATCCAGTTGCTTAAACTTCATTGATCTCAATGTTGATTACAACAGGTGTGAAATCCTGTCCCCGAAATTTCACTATTCATTATGTATCTCGTAATTTAAATTCGTATTTCACGTTTACGTTATTTTTATTACTTAATTTTAATTCCGTAAATTTTGGGAATTAAATCGAATAGTTATCAGGTTTGAATTTTCGTAATTAATCTTTAAGATTTGTTCACCTTTCGAGGTCACAAGTAACGTTTTCGAGTAGATCTTGAAACCACAAGCTCATAGGCGGAAGTTATTTGAGAGTCCAGGTTTTAACGGTATAGTTACGGATATTCGAAGTCGTTACTAAATTATAGACTTTAAATTTATTTTAAAACTCCTACCATGTGGGAAAGGGACCAATCAGAATATATATAAAATAAAAAATAAAAATAAAAAGGATCAGCCAATGAGGAAAGGAAATCCCCCCTCCATTATGGATCCGTGCACCACCATCAACCCGGTTTAATTCCGGCGAATTTCGCCATTTTTTTCGTTGAATCACCACCATCCAACACCTCCAAAACACTCAGTGATTTCCCATCTTCCATCTCCACCCAAATTTGAGGGTATTTAAGTCCAAAATCGTGTAAAACCGTGCGGGTGACCCATGGAGATTTGACGGCGATTCCGCCATTCCGGCTAGTTTCACCACCCACCACCAGAATCAACTACCCTTGGACCCAGGAACAAGACCCAATCAGTTGTAGGGGTGTTGGAACATCGAGGAAGTCGAATCGAAGAACACCCATCTAAGGGTTTCCGGCAGGTTTGAGCGAATTTGGGGTTTTTCCCGACCAAATCGAAGAACACCCATCTTTCAGTAGTTTTAAATTTTGCGTTTGAATATAATTGTCCTACGAGTGATAGAGTTTTGGACGTCCATCATTTGTTGCTTTTAAATAATCCGCAGACTTCTGTCTATTTGACTTTTGCAGTGTGTAAGATTATTTTTTATTTTTTTATTTTTTTTTGAACAATTGGATGTTTGTGGTATGAATGAGTATTGATTCTTGAATTGACAAGTACTCTTGGGAGGAAGTGCAGATCATGTGTTTTATCATTATCCTATAGCCTTATATGTGTAGCTGAGATTGTGTAGGGAAGGAAATTGTATTGTTCATGTATGCAGGAAGAAATTGTATTGTTCATGTAGTCTGGTTTTTATTGTTGTCCGTTTTATGGTGGGGGACAACTTAACCGAAGAGATTGCATTTTGTTGAGGAGATTAGGTAGGCAATTAAAGCATTCCTTCTTATGCACCATAATGGTGATGAAATAAAGATCCAAATTTGGTTGAAGAATTGAGGAGGGGGGGAGTGGGCATGGGAAGAACTTATCCTGTGTGTAAATTTAGGCCACATTTTTTGAAGATAATTTTATATTACTGTATGCTCAGAATATTTTAAAAGGCATTTGACTAAAAAAATGTAAGAATTTTGTATCTAGCTACTAACATAAGGAAATGATGTTTTAAACTTTCAGTTTTTGAATGCTGATTCTGCATATTTGCTTTAATCTGTTTACCATTTGGTATAAGGATTTGTACAAGAGCAGATGCGACAATCGCCTTACTGAGATCACAGAAAGGGCCTCTGCTGATAGATGTGAGGTATATGCTGTAGGATACTTGAGCCTAAGCGCATATTTGCATTAATCTTTAGCTACCGTCTTGACTTAGTGAATACTACTTGAATCTAGGCTGAGTCCCTGGCTAAGAAATATGAAGAGAAATACAAACAAGCTGGAGATGTAGCTTCCAAGCTGACTATTGAAGAAGCCACATTTCGTGATTTACAGGTAGCTTTCACCACATATAAATTTGTGGACAATTAGTGACCCATGTTGTGTGTTTGCTTTTGCTCATTTGAAGATCAAAGTGTCAAGTGTTTACTATTCATTTTATCTGAATCATAATTGCCTGAACATGTGAGATGGCGTGCTTTTATTTTTTATGAGATAAGTGCCAATAAAAATTCAAAAACAAGCATGAGTAGGACATTTTTCTTTTAGGAGAAACAAAAAGAAAAATATTTTATAATTTTTAGGCCTGGTGGGATAGATAGCTGATGACAGAGAGAAAGTAGTGTGGGAAAATAGAATCAGTTGAATGGTCATACCCCAAGTGGTGTATTCTTTTTATTATCATGGAGTGAGTATCTTACGTGATTTATATGCAGGAGAAGAAAATGGAGCTAAACAGGGCAGTTGTCAAGATGGATCGAGAAGGTGATGCTGATGCGCACTTCAGGTACCTTTGCACAATCTTGCTGTTTAAAAATTACCTTTGCTCAACTTGTCTTAGACCGTTTCCAACTGAAATTTTCAGGATCGTGTTGATCACATCCAATTAGATCTTGATGGGCTTGTGAAAACTCTCAATGAGCACTGCAAGAATATGGACTAGGCGGAAAGCCTACAACATTAACTGAGCTTCCCTTTAGTACGTTGATCTCTTTCCTTAGCTAATTTCTTGGGAGTCTAAGAATCATATCAATAATGATAAGAATACTTCCATTAGCTTATTCTTTATCAAACTATCTGATGGATTGTAGATAGAACACATTGTTGTTGGATATACTTTTGCTTTGGGTTTGTCAAATTATTTCAATTTATTAATGGCATTGCCTTTCTAGAACCCAAAAGTCATTCTGTTGTTAAATTATCAAAATCCTACGCAGAAACCCTTATTTTCACTATTGTAATCTTTTCGTGATCACTCTGGTTTGTTTGATTACCATTATTCGAATTCAATGAAGCGTTTCATGAGTGTGTCATTTTCTTTTTCGTTATTGTTCACTGCTGCGGTATTTGTACTACATTGCATTTTGTAATCTGAAATTTTATTTTATTTTCATATAGGCTGGCAACCTGGCTTCCAAGAAGGACCTGCTGACTGGGATGAGGATTGGGATAAGTTTGAAGACAAAGGTATGCCCAAATTAGTTATTATAGGTCCAGTATTGTCTCTGAGATAATAAAATTCTGGTAGCACTTAGATTCCTTTTACCTAATCACCTCGTGGTAAATGGATCATATTGCCTGCTGTTTGTAGTTTCTTTGTCATCTGGTTGTGGTTTGCCAACCTGTTTATGATTTTTAACTATTTGAGGTGACTGATTCAGAAGTTTAATTGTCAGGATTTGCTTTTGTCAAGGAGCTCACTCTTGATGTGTTAAATGTCTTGGCACCTCCAAAAAAGAATCATCATCAGTTCAGAAAGAAAAAGCTCTCCCAGTTGAGAATCCAACAACTGCTGCTTCACCTGAAGTTGATGTTAAGACAGAAAAGCCTCAAAGTGTGGATGCCAACCAAATCAGGACTGGGTCATCAGACTCATCACAAGGAGGTGGCTTTTCCCAGAAGAGCTGCCCTTTTACTTTCGACGATTTTGTTCCTAGGACACCACTCTCAGCCTTCAATTCAGGATATTCACCGCCAAGGTACAAGGATAGTTCAGAACCTTCATTTGACACCTTCTCTAGGTTTGATACGTTCAGAAGCACACAAGATACTGGATTTTTTCCCTCAACCAGAAACATTCGGAAGATTTTGAGTCTATGCGCAGCAATAGAGAGTTTTCCAACATTTGATGACATCCCAGACCCTTTTGGCTCTTCGGTGCCATTTAGGTCATCGCTGGACAGTCAAACTCCAAGAAGAGACTTGGACCCCTTTGGATCTTCAGGGCCATTTCGGATGGCACTCGACGGTCAAACTCCAAGAAAGAATCAGATTTTTTCGAGTCTTTAGTGCCATTTTGGACATCATTCGACAGTCATAACTCCTAGAGGAGACTCGGATGCATTTGGGTCTACTCCATTTAGGACATCATTCGACGGTCAAACTCCAAGAAGAGACTTGGACCCATTTGGGTCTTCAGGGCCTTTCCGGATGATAATGGAGACTCCGAGAAAAGACTACTCACTGGAGTGCATTTTAACCGGGTAATTGTTCTGCATTTTTTTGTATCTGCTATTCTCCGTTCCAAGCCTTTCTATCGTGGGTGGGATGGGTGATGAGGCGATATTATACTATATATTTTACCCTATCTTAGTATTAATTTATTGATTATTTTGGTAGAATTTTGATACTTTGTTATATATTTATAATGTAGGACATTTGACTTCATTTGGAGAAAAACGTGATCAAACGGATGAATTTTGGAGTAATTCCAATTGGAGGATGTTCATGTGCCTTTCAAAATGATTGTATCAAAATTCTAGATTTTTCTACCAAGCCGTTTGACCGTGGCGATGAAATAAAGGTCCAGCGTGCAGCTTTTCTAGATTGACATTTGTAGACGTTTTGGGTATTTTAGAGGTCAAGATGGCGTATTTTGAAAAAGATTCCTTCTAAAAATTTGTAGGGAACGTCTTCAGCTTTATAAAGAGACATTTTGAGACCAAATCGGAGTTGATTTGGTTGGTCATATAAGATTGATTTTATGAGAATTCCGAATTTTAGTTCAAATAGGAAACCTTTAATTTTCTGTTTTATTATTTTATTATGTTTCGTAGTTTTATTCTAAGACCTTTTAGGGTTTTATTTTGTATTAGTATAAATAAGATATTTAGCTATTAGGGTTAAGGGTGGAGAACGCACTCATTTTGGCTTTAGAGAGCTTTTGACGATTCAAGTTTACTTTCAAGGTGTTTTCTATCATTGTTTTTAATAATATTTTATTTTATGATTATTCGTAACTAGTTTTGTTTGCTAGGGCGAGGCCACGAATCTTAACAAGAATACGTAGTTTCTTTTCAATTTGCTTATGATATTATGCATGCAAGTTTTGAGTTATTAATCAGTGTGTTTTAAACTATCTAATTGTCTTAATGATTGGCTACCATTAGGATATTTAGAAAAGTAATTTGATGCAATTTTGGCGGAGGGTTGTCCTTGAAATTGGCGCTGGCTTCTTGTGGTTAATATGTATAACTTCTTAGGATGGACGACACGTCTTAAGGGTTATATGGTTTTTTAGAAGGTTTTCACAAAACTTAATGAGTTTGGCATGTTCATATTCGATCTGGACGCCACGGACGGGTTGCATGTTATATATACGTTTTATGTTGGAGGTTCTAAGTAGGGCATACTTTAGGAAAACTAACCTTCAAATATGCATGTGTAATTCATAAGTAATTGGAAGAACTACATATGATTGTTAAGGTGACGGCGGAACCCTAGTGCTCAAATTTATTTTCAAAACTATTTTCTTTTGTTTTCTTTACTTTCCCAATTTATTTATTTGTTTTTAATTAAATTCATTTTTAATATTTTAGGTTATAAAATCAACATCTTCCAAAATTTGTTTTCAAATAATTAATTAAGATTTGGTTTGGAGAGCGATCTTGCTTGAGCCGTTTATACTACAACTACCTTGTTTTCTTGCAAGTATTTTTAAGTGTTTTTTATCCTTACTTTCGCAAGTGGTAAAAATACCTATCAACGGGCCTTGTGTTTTATGATTGAAATCACTGAGCTTATGTATCTTTTGTGTTTCATTTCTTTGTGTATGCATCTCGTTTGTTCTTCATTCTTTTTTTTCCCTTTAGCTTGTTGCGCGACGTATAATTTTTCTCCTTAATTTGGGAATGTTCCTAGTCCTATTGAAGCGAAGACCCCTATTGTATTATTAAACATGTGCCTTTCTTTTTTCGGCCTTAATATGAACATTACTTCCTTGCAAAAGAAATTTGTCAATTTTGTGATCGTTGAACGATTCTCCAAGTACGCACATTTTACGACCATATCCCATCTATATTATGCAACAACTGAAGGGTTTATGCTTTATAAGGCTCACAGTTGTCCTTGAGTTTCAATTACCATCCCCAAACAGACAGACAAACAGAAGTGCTTGTAGATGTTTAGAAATTTATCTTGGATGTTTTCTGCAGTTTAGAACTAAAGCAATGGCTTCACTTGCTTTCTCGGTATGCATTGAGTTGTGACATGCAGGGCCGTCTCTGAGATTTTGGGGGCCCTGTTTGAAATTTATAAAAGGGTCCCTTCTTAAGATAGTTTTTTTTTTTTTAAAAAAAAAAAAAAAAAAAAAAGAGGTAGGACAATGTATTGACACTATAAAACAATCACTTAAATCAAAACAAAGTTTAGCGCTTACTGATTGCAAGTTTAAAAATATCATTAATAATACGTAAAAAGAACTACAAACATAATGTTCACTAAATAATCAAAAGCAGTTCAACCTTAAACAACCAAACATAAAATTAAAAAAAAACTTCAATAACTCTAACTTTAAAATTTCACTTGAATATATAACATTATTATATAATAAAATTAAAAAATACCGTATTTAAGTTGATATTATTGGCACTCAAAATATCTCATTGTACTTCAAATTTTTATATTTAGAAAGAAAAAAAAAGTTATGTTATAAGGAGTGCACGATGAGATTTTTTTTTGTTGTTATTTTTTGTTAAACGATAGATTTTGTTAGATTAGATGTTAATATTGTTATCGACGAGGTTTGAACCCACGTTGTTATGCAAGGGCTGAACATCTTTCTACCATTGTGGTAAAGGACCACTTGCAATGCACAATGAGACTTTAAAGTGCTAACAAAAACAATTTTTAAATATAGAACATTATTACATAAAAAAGCTATTTTTAAATATAAAACATTATTACATATAAATATTAGATGACAAATATTTTGAAAGCCCTTTCAAATTTGAAGTCATGTACAACTGCACATTTTGCTTCCCCTCAACGCCCCCTCTAGCTACATGTCTCGCCATTCTGCTACTAATATGACTTTATATGAGGTGGTGTATGGCCGTGAATCACACCTGCTACTTCCAACATATGAAACTGGTACAACAACAACAACAATTCTTTTGGAACAGGCTCTGGATTTATTGACTATGGAGTTGGGAGTTAAATTGGTGGGCAAGGTTTTGACAAACAAACTTTTGAACAGGTGGGGAGTCAGGAACATTCTCAAATCGGCTTGGAAAAAGTTTGGAGAGGTTGAAATTAAATGGGTAGGAGATAATACTTTTATTATTTCGGTTTAAGATGAAAGTATGGCTATAAAAATCCTGGAGCACGTTCCTTGGGCAGTGATGAAGAAGATTTTCTCTGTGAAGAAGTGGCCCTTGGAGCTTGCTTGGAAGGAAATTGTGATGGAGACAGTTCCTTTTTGGGTTCAGATTCGAAAAGTTCCATTGTGTTTGGCTTTTTATGATAATATTAAACGGCTAACAAAAGAGGCTGGGGAGTTCTTAGAATTGGAAGACCCAGGTAAAGCTCATGGTTTTTTGCGGGTTAGGTTGCTAATTGATATGGCTAGGCCATTACTTAATGGGTGTTGGCTACGGAAGGATCAGACTCAGGACACTTGGGTGGATTTTCGCTATGAGAGGCTCCAAGACTTCTGTTATCGTTGTGGACGTATTGGGCATGTCAATAATGAATGCACTTTCGAGGAATCTCGAGGAAGGGCGGCTGGGTATGGTGACTGGACAAAGGCGCCTCCAGTCAATGATGTTGTGGAGGCAGCGAGACCCTTGAGTTTGGGGATGGGTAATCGAAGACAGGCGGGTACGGTGCTCGTTTGTGCCCTTCCTTTGGCTCCAAACCAAGGTGAAGGAACATGTCTGGTACAGCAGTGGGAGGCTACAACCATGTATCAGGAACCTAAGGTGGTATTTACATCTCAAGGGTGTGGAAAAAAGAAGTGGCGTCGCATGTCAAGACCCATGATGCCAACTGACCAAATCCAGTGGATTGTTCCGTATAGGTGTAATCAGTCGATGGGGGAGCATGGGAATGAGCCTCTTCTCATAGGTCTTCCATAAATGCACATCAGCCTGAGGAAGGTAGGCAGTCGGGGTACATTTGTGAACTTGCTGATGATATGTTCGCAATTGGAAAGGGGTGTAGAACAGTAAGGTATGGAGTTGTCTCAATCTCCGCAGAAAAAGGTTAGGGGTATTGTAAGTGGGGAGGATAGTGCTAAAAGGTTGGATGACCATTGAAGGGGGATGAGCATTAAAAAAAGTTGTGTGATAGTGGAGCGATATATATATGTTGGAGGGGGGTTCCAGGCTGAACCAAGTGATTGTCGTGAGATGTGGGAGTTTTTGGATGAGGTCTCGGAAGTGAAGAAGGCTATGATGTTGCAAAAAAAGGCAAGTAAGATGGCTCGGGCCAGTGGTGGCTGGCTCTCAATAGCCGCAAGCCCACCATGAGTTATTTATTCTGGAACTGTCGTGGTCTCGAGTTGGACACGACAGTTCGAGCTCTTCATGGGCTCATCAGAAACAAGAGACCTTCTATGAATTTTTTTTTTCTAAAACCAAGATAAAAGCTCATAGAATAGATGGGGTAAGGAGACGTATGTGTGTGGTGCACGGGTTCAATGTTTCACTTATAGGTAGGGTTGGTGGTCTGAGTTTGTCGTGGGATGACACAGTGGAGGTACAAATTGTCTTTTCGTCACAGAATATTATTAATGCCATTATGAGATATAAGGTGGATCAGCAGTGGGTGCGCGTTACTGGTGTGTACAGAACTCCATACGAAGTTGAAAAAGATGCTTTTTGGGGATGGATGGTGAATCACTTCACCCCGTCGGATATTCCTTGGCTTTGTGGTTGGGATTTCAATGAATTCATTTGGGATCATGAGAAGTCTGGTGGGGCGGAGGTGTTCTATAATCGAACCAAGTATTTGGAGGCATTTATGAATTCTTCTAATTTATTTGATTTATGCTTTAATGGCCCGGCCTTCACGTGGAGAGGTTTGCGTAATAGGGAGTGGGTGGAAGTACATTTAGACAGGGCCCTAATTAATGGGATGTGGCAAGATCTTTGGCCTAACTCTTCTGTTACGTATGGAACGGTTTTGGTGTCTGACAATTGTCCGCTCATTGTTAAATCTGTTTTGGATGGTCCGAAAGGTAGGAAGATTTTTAAGTTTGAGGCTTTTTGGGCCAAGGACGCGGAGTGTAGGGAGCTGGTGTGTATTTGTTGGGCTTGCCATGAGGAAGAAGATGTTTTGAGGCAGTGGGTGAGGAAGATTAAGGAATGCTATTCCAATTTACTTCATTGGAGCAATCAGAAGTTTAAAAGGCGAGTGTAGCAAATTAAGGAACTTCTCAATCAATTAGATGAACTCCAAAAGAATTGGGGTCGGAACATAGCAGAAATACAGGAGAAATCTCAGTTGATTGATGACTTAAAAGCTAAGGAGGAAAGTTTCTGGCATCAGAGGTCTAGAGTTAGATAGTTATAAGAAGGATATGCCAATACTAAGTTTTTTCACCAGTCAACCTTGCAGTGGCGACGAAGGAACAAGGTTCTAAAACTTAAAGATGAGAATGGGCATTGGGTGGGTCGGATTCGTGAAATGGTGGTGAATCATTTTGTTAATACATTCAAGTTGGAAGGGTCTCGAAATTGGGGGTCGCTACTGGATTGTATATACCCAACTGTTACTTCGGAGATGAA